TAAGTTAATGCTGCCAGATGATATGCTAATGCCGGCCAGATAGTTTTATTTTGGGATCATATTAAAAATCCCGCGCGTGCCCATCTCTAGTGATAACATATACAGTAGTATGATGTTTAGCTTTTGTTAAAAAATTTCTTTATTAAGAACTAAGATTGAATGAGATCTATTCTTAATTTGAAATGACTTTATTATATACTACTTTCATATTGGTCCTTTATAATAAACAATATTCTAAAGGTTTATGATAAATTACTGAATAAAATAGCCAATAAATTGATTTACAAGTTTAATAAGATTAAGAATCAAACAATATTTAGGTAATTAATTTGGTAAAGATAAAAACAGTAAATAATAATAAAAAGGTAAAAGAATTCGGAGAGTTGTTCGCAGCAGCACTCTTATTTGTAGTTGGTTTGATTGAAGAACATTGAATGGAATTGCTCTAAGCACATTAAATAGATAATTATAATTAGAATAATTAGAATTAAAATAATTAAAATGGAAAATTTGAATGATTAATAATAAAAATACCGTTAAAGCAGCCGATACATCAGAGCAATTACTGGAGGCCGCAGTTTTTATAGGTTCGCCTTTAGCGACGTTTCTTAACCAAACTCTCTTATAATCTTTTGTAGGTAAATTAGGATTAACGACATTCATCATATCTTCCAGAACACCATCAGCAAATAAAACAGCACTTTCAAACCAATCCCTTCCATCACTTGGACTAGTCACACCATCTTCTCTGTAAATAGCACTATTTTTAACAAATTTATATTGCGCATCATTACTATTTAGATTAAAGTTGGAATAAACTTCGGAAATATCGCGAGCAATAAAACTTTCATCAATCAAAATATCAACATTTGCGATAGCAGAAAGAAAAGAGGAGCTCGTAGAATACATAAGTGGGGTAGTATTAAAATAAATGCCACCAGCATTCTCGGTCAAAATTTTTTTATAAGGAGCATCAGCAATTACCCAAGAAGCAGTATTATTATTAAAAGACGATGGAGCATTGTAGGAAACCCAAGCCACAGTAGGAGGATTGCTAGAAGAGGGTAATTTTTTTAAACAGTTGTAATTGTCACTTATTTGATTATAAATCGAGTTAGCTTTGTCTTCAAGGTTGAAAAAAGCAGAATAAAATTTTATCCACTCTGCTCTGTTAAGTGGAGCAGGATCAGAAACGGCAGAAATACCGATTGTTTTTGGATCGGTAAGATTGAACATTGAATCGAATACGGCATCAACTTTGGAAAGTTGTTCACTTTTAAGAGTCATGTTGCTCGAAGAAATTATAGTCAAATTAGAAATAAGAGCCTGAAGGCAAGGTGAAGATACAAAAGAAGACCCTAATTGGGTAATGTGGGATCTAAGACCAAGAGCCTGAAAATTCATCAAAGAATTTATTAATTGATTAATTGGCTAATTAATATTGAAGGATTATAGAATAAGTATAATTTTCATACCTCGAGAAAAGGTACAACACTGGTGTCCATGATGGCAACATTATTGAGAGATATATTAAAGACTTTTGTGCCGGCGGGTAAACCAGTTGGGACAGGAGTTCCACATTGAACAAGGGCAAAAGTTTCTTTGGAATCAGAGTTTGTGATAAGTTTATAGTTGTTATTATACTTTATGGTGAATAAAGAAGCAGTAGTAACTATTTAAGGGAAATAATAAAAGAAATAAAATTAATAACAAAGTCATTCATTTCTTTTAATTGAGTACTAAAATTTATCATTTGTAATTTAATAATTACCGGTAACCTTGGAAGGAAAATAGTCGACATCACTACTAAAGGTTTGCACGCAATTTCCAGGGGACAAATTTTCAGCAGCATCATTACTTTTGACTATAAGAAACAAGAATATAAAAATTCGAATTAATCGAACGTAAAACTGGTTATAATCAGACATTCTGTAAACCATGCAAGAGTAAGATACAATAATGGATTTCAATGCATCTATATATTTTATCCTGCGTAACCATTTGATATGCTAACGCAAATTTTATTTATGTACGTAACGTACGTACGTACATATGCATATATTTATTTGTTACAATAATTTAACTCATAAAATTCAGTTTATTTGTATATGTCGATATATACAACATGTGAGTAGGTTATTACGGAATTAGCATCACGTTAGGTGATCAATTTTTTTTTCTCATCAGACGCACAAATCAAATTACAAATTTTTAGCTTGGTTGGACAATCTCTTTTTTGGAGGTATGTACGCACTTACTAACTCTCGAATAGTTATGAATGCATTAAACTTCATGTATCGACGGAAAATTACATTTTTTAAGAACAATATACTCTTGGATAATAAACATTTTTATATATATACTGGCAGGTCTCTTACTTTTACACTGTCAATTGAGATCTTTTCTTAGCATAAATTCTTGTTTTTTTTCTTTACGTAATCAACTTTTCTTATCAACGGGATTACAACATGATCATGATTTTACCTGTCCATTTTTGGTAAAGTAATAAATTTTATGTTACATATTAAGAAAAAGATATTTGTAAATATTTTAATATTTGTTAAGCCTTCATTACTAATATTCGTATTACAACTTAATTATATCCAATAACTTTATACGTAGTACCAAGACCCAAGACTTGCACCGTTTGTCAGCGGGATATGTAGTCTTCATGAATTTCAGCTTCTATAATTCATAATCATAATTTATATTTAAACGTTTTTTTGATAAATTGATGAACTTTATTTTCAAATAATTACGGATTTTTAGTTTCCATATAATTAAGCAAACATAAATTTTTTATTCGGTGTGAAGCGGGATTTAATGAACCAAAACTTTTGTGTGCACTATATTCATTACTATTTATAGGTTAGGCATTGCTATTTATAGGTTAGGCGATTGCCTGCATTTGACCAATAGAAACCTGCGGGGACCGGGCCGACCTTAAACATTTTCCAAAACAGAATATAAATGCAAGCCAAATTAAGTTGTCACATGTAGTGAGCCTACGCAAGTCCTTATATACATGTATCTATTTCTACCCATATATCATGATATATAATTGTGTTTTTTAAAATATCTAAAAATTGCACATGTTTCTAATGAATTAATTTTAACCATTTATCCAGAAATACTATATAGATATTATATAATTATCGGCCAAATAATGAAAATTAAAAGTTCGTAACCTAATTAACTTAACAAAATATTTGCTGCGTAACTTATGATAACGGTATTACCCGGAAACCCTCAAGTTCTGATTGGACGTCTTTGATTAGATAAAATAGATTATGCCACTCTTAGCAAAAATTCAAGATATATATATATTTGTCAGCGAAACGGCCTTTATCATTACCGTTAGTGTTGCATAATAATTAAGTAATTCAGTCTCTGTTATTTTTTTGTCATAAGGGAAACAAAAATTTCACAAAATTTAAAGTTCAGATTGGTTTTTGACAACTGTTACACAGTTTTGCTATTATCGTTATGTGACATTGAAAGGTAGACAAAAGCACCAGCATAACCAATAATCGAGGGGGCAGTCACATGAGTTTCCGACCTAAGGCCCTCCGGAAAGTCTTCAAATCTTTTAAGTTTTTCACTGTTTTTGGGTGAATTTGGTTTACAATTTTTTTTATTTATATTATTTTTTAAATAGAAACGGTTACCAGTTATGACAAATATTGAAAAAAGCAAATTTGTCTGCCATATTTTAGTAAATGGTAAAATATATATGAATTTTGAATATCGCAATACATTTCCAAAGTGTAGGTAACAGATAAAAGAATATCAAACAATAAATAAATTTTAAAGCAGGAAACAAAATTAATACCAATCAACAATGCCAATTAAGTAATAGTGAACCATGTATTAAATGTTTGCAAAACAAAGATCAGTAAAAATATTCACTTCTAGAAAAAAAGTTATACTTATATCATGTGTTTTCTTAAAGTTTGGTTAAATTTCGTTGTTTTTGCTATACAAATATGAATAGAAATATAGTCAACTCTCTTTATAGTGAACTAACTGTTATAATAAAAATTTTTGAAAGTTCTTTATATAGTAATTTACTGTTTCTACACCAAATTCTATAATAAATTGATTTAAAGAATTCATTCTAAAAAAGTTATAAAAACTCATATAAAAGTTTGTTGAAAAAGTCCAGTATAAAAATAGTTCATTGAAAAAGTTCATTATAAAAACAATTTGTTGAAAATGTTTGTTATAAGAAATTTCAATGAAGAAGAAATTCGTTGAAAGTTAAAGTTTGTTGAAAATTCATTATAAAAAAAGTCTGTTGAAAACTTCATTATAAGAAATTTTGATGAAAAAGTTCGTTATAAGAAAGTTCATTGAAAAAGTTTGTTATAAGAAATTTTGATGAAAAAGTTCAGCATAAGAAAGTTCATTGAAAAAGTTCGTTAAAAAAATTATAAAAAAGTTTGTTATATCTAGAGTTGATTGTACAGATAGAAAAACAATAAATCAAATAATATTGTGAGATTCGATAAAAACTAAGTGTATGGTAAATCATGTGACTGCCCCCTTGATTATTGGCAATGCTGGTGTTTTTAAAGTAGACATACATACGTATGTATGTACTAGAGGCCTGCACAGGCTGGGCCAAAATTTGAAAATTTTAAAAACCTCTCAAAATTGCGGGCCTGGTATGTCAAGAATATAGTAAATTGCAGGCTGAACTTTTAAAAAACATGGTAAATTTTATTTTGCGGGCCGTGCAGTAAAGTTGGTACTCGAAACGAAACCTACCTGAAACTAGTTTCAAAAGGTATTAATCCAAAACCCTGAAACCTGAAACACCGAAACTATAATCTGAAACCCTAAAACTATAATTCAAAATTTTGAAACTATAATCTGAATTTTTAAAAATATAATTTGAAAATTTTAAAATTACAATATATAAATTAAATTTATTTTTATAAAATATTTAATAAAAATATATTTATATAAATTAATATTTTTAGAGGGGGAGGGGTTATTGAAATCTTATATTAAATATTAAATTTATAAGTGCCAATCAAATTTTTCTTATGTGAGGAAAGTAGAGTATAGTAAAAAATATTATGTAATATTTGTCACAACCCTAATAAAAAAATATTTTTTAATTAATAATTTAAAATTTCAACTAATAAATTTATTTTCTTTTTTTGTTATTTATTTACAAATAGACCAAATTTATCACAACTTGCTATATGTAGAGTAATTGAAAAAGTATAATTTCAAGCAATTGTAAATATAATAGTATTGTTATATATATTTTTACCACTTAAAGTTATTATTTAAATAAAATTCTCTAAATTAACTAATATTATAAGATAAACATTTAATTAAACTTTTTTTATTTTAACATTCTGCAATAAAAATAGTATAAGAATAAACTTCTGTTTAAAAATCAAAACTATTTCAAACAATTTTAAAAAAAAATTTTATAAAAATTTTATATTAGTCACCTAATCTTAAATTTTGTATTAAATATATTATATCAAAATTAATAACTTAATTAAATTGGCTAAAAAATTATTTAGCAAATAAAAACAGCTATAAATAAAATTTTAGGTTTCAGGTGAGGTTTTAGGTTTTGAAAATATTTTGAATTTTAGTAAAATTTCAGGTTTCAGGCAAGATTTTAGGTTTCGGGGTTTCGGGTGAGGTTTTAGGTTTGGGTAAGGTTTCGAGTTTCGGGTAGGGTTTCGGAAACTATAATACGAAACCCAAAACTTTCGGATTTGGCCAAAAAGGTTTCGGTGACCAACACTACCATGCGGGCCGGCAAAAGTACAAATTTCTAGGCTTGTGCAGGTCTCTAGTACGTACGTATATAAGATAACTACAACATGGTTGCACTTAAGCTAGTAATGTAATATGTTCACGAGACTAGTGTTAAGAAGCTAAGCAATGAAATGGTAGTTATACATTATTCATGATTATATGATCTATTATATAATAAATTTGTCTTCCGATTTTTATCATTACCAGATCGCTCGAGCAGGGTAACGTTACAAAAATTACTGTATTTTTTCAAATTTTAATAAATTAGATTTCATGTAATTTTCTCATGTGATATGTAAAGTATCGGCATTACAAAAGTTTTGCCCAGCATTAATTTCGTCGTTTAATTCTACCATCTAGCATTTAAAAATTACCGAATCTTGCATAAAGTTAATTATTATTTTTATAATTTATTTTTTATTTTATGATTTTATTAAAACGATTTTGGCACTATATTTATTCTATTATTATAACTCTTAAAAAGTAAACAAAGTAAATAATATAATTCCTTTAAATAATCAAATTACATATTATTATTTAAAATTTTATATATTCGAATTTAATTACAATATTATAATCGATTTGGATTTAAGATCAATTCTAAAAATCTGTAACCTTCCATTTTAAATTGACAATCTTTTTCGTAATAACGCTAATGGAGAATTTCAGAGATTCTATATAGTCTATTAATCATATATTCAATCAGTAATCTCTATATCTATCTTGAAACGTATAAAATTCTCTTAAATTAGAAAACGTTTAATTTCTTGCGACATCTTTATCTGTAGAGATTCATTATTTTGCAAACCGCAATAAAATAAAATCAATTCTTACCTTGCCCAGCCGTTGCATAGCAAATAATAATTCGAAATAAGAAGATTGATTCCATTAACTTTTAACTTTCTTTTTCAAGATCGTATTTTAAATTGGTCATCAAATCTATTTTTTGAGTCATATTTTAAATTTGTCAACATTGATTTTTTATTCGGCACACAAAGCATGGGTGAGAATAACCTTTTGTCATTGAATCAAATCTGATCAATTCCATTAAAAGTCAGTCGAGAAGTTCGCAAAGACACTCTAAATAATTCATGTATATAAAACTATCGGCATGTGCTTCATATCTTCTGAGTGATTA